GGATGTCTTACACCATCTGTTTTTCTTTCTGTGAACAGCGCAGGAACACTAGCGTACGGGAACAGCCAGGGAAGAAGCGGAACCTAGGGTTGCTAGGGACTTGCGAACACCTTTTGGCATTTGTTTTAATCCATAGTGAGTCTTCCATGTCCTATGGTGGTGTTTAGGACCACGAGGAAACTTTCCACCTCTGGAAATAGAAATTTCTTCATCTGCAAATGGCAATAATACTGTCATATCTCATAGGTTAACTGTGGACTTTTCATGAATTTGTGGCTCTGAAGGTTTTAGCATAGTAGCTGGGTGTTTGTTAACATTAATATTGGCAGCCTTACATTTCTTTTAGGACTTTTCTCACTGGATGGATGACAGATCTGTTCATTCAGCCAAAAAACAGGTCCCGGAACTACTCAGAAGTCTAATCTACATCTACATTAACAGTTCTTCAAATACTTGAAGACAAGCTTTCATGAATTTAATAACTGCTTTCCCTGTGGCTTTTTTTTTTTAATCTCAAGAATAGAACACAGTAAACCATAAAAATGAGTGTTATCATTCTTCCTTTGGATTTTCTATGTAAATGTTGTTTAACATTCAAATGGTGCTGATTATAATTTGAGATATTAACAGTTAGATATGCCATTGTGTCCTTCTGTATTGTTTGTAAAGGAGGTTAAACACTATATTAACTTCTGAGTAGTGATTTACTGTTGCTTTTGTTAGAGACAAGTAAAAAAAGAAGTAAAATAATATAATTTGATATTGCCTTTGAGACTTTTCAGTTTGCAGAGCTCTTTATTTCCCACTCAATTTTTTTTTTCTTAAAGAGCTTACACGTAGTATAAACATAGCATCGCACAAACCCAGTGTTGTTCTTTTTTCCTGACTTACGCTGTTGTATGATATTGCTCTGTAACCATTAAGCAGCTGCTCTGCCTCAAAGACATGAGCATTTCTTTTGGTACATGAAGGGAATTTGCTCTCTGAATCTCTCCAAACTGCTTTAGGCGCTCTAGCCTTTGCTTTAGCGATTGAGATCACAGTGGTCTATGTAACATGTGAAAACCATGTCTCTGAAAGTCTCTGTAGCCTGGAGGTTTACAAGAGGTTTTATAATAGCACCAGTACCCTGTGTTTTGCTGAGTTTCAGACTCTATACTCTTGTGGGGTTCTGGACCCACTTCCCAGTTATTTGCCTAGAGCTCTCAAGAATGGTTTCCTATATACTTGAACAAGCACTACTAAGTTGTCCAAGAACTGTGTCATCCAGTAATTCTTTCTTTTCTGTGTCCCCTAATATTTGTCTCTTGCAAAGGTTATACTATATGCAGAGATGCACAAGGTCTCACCACAAAAGCCAACTACCGCTTGACTGTTTCCCACACACCACCAGCCTCTTGGCTCATTGCCAGTGGGAACTATTGATGCTCTTCAGGACTCCTCCCTTCACTCACATCCTTCTATGCTCAAAACAGGAGCAGAGCCCAGTGGGTCCTATAGGGTTCCTTTTTTATCAAGTGGGCCCCAATATATTTTCAATACTTTTCATAGTTGTAGAAAAACAGTTTTCCATGTAGATTTCAATTTCATATCACTGGTAAAGAACTTAGCTTGTGTTTGACAACCCGTCTTCCTGCATAAAATTAGCCTTGAGATTGTTCATCCCCCACTTGTCATCTGCCTCATAGTGTTCCCCATACTATCCATGTTAATGTTTGTGATTTTGTTGACTACTCATGGCTATAAAGAGGAAATGAACTTAAGATGCTATCTATATATGGAGATGATATGTATTACGTGCGATATAATTCATGTAACCATCTTGAAATGGTCCACAATCATTCACTCCATCAATTTTCAAATTTTAATTTACCTTTATTTGTGTGTGTGTGTGTGTGTGTGTGTGTGTGTGTGTGTGAATGTGTACGCATGCCTGGCATGGTTAGAGAACAGCTTGCCAAAATGAGTTCTGTCTTTCTACTATTAGGTCCTGAGGATGGAATTCATGTTGTCAGACTTGACAGCATGTGACTTTACGCAGTGAGCCATGTCACTGGCCCTCATTCATCAATTTATTTTACAAGGATTTTTGTTCTGCTATTTGAATTCTTTGTATCATATGTTCCAAATTACACATTAGTACACAACAAAAATAAGACTATAATTTGACCCCAATTGATATTTTCCTCATTCTACTCCACAGTCCAACCTTTTGACATTTCCATATACTGTCATCCACAAATGTGTTGAGCCACATTCAGAGCTGTTCTGGGACACATGGGACCTGTGGCCTGCAGATTGGAAATGCCTGCAATGAACCACTCAGCGAACAAGTTCTAGGGAGTGACAGGGGTCAGTATAGTTATCCTTCGATCTTAAACCAGCCATAATCACCTTGTTATAAGATTTCCAAGATGTTAATTTAGGACCTTGTTTTTAAAAAGTTGAATTTTAGGGGCTGGAGAGATGGCTCAGCGGTTAAGAGCACTGACTGCTCTTGCAGAAGACCCGGTTTCGATTCCCAGCACCCACATGGTGGCTATGAACCGTCCTTAACTCCAGTTCCAGGGGAATCCGAAGCCCTTTTCTGACCTCTGCGGCATCGCACGACACAGGTGCACTCACATACATTCAGGCAATACATTCACACACGTAAAAATAATAAATAAAATTTTTTTTTTAAAGTTGAATTTTAAAATGCTGTACCATGTTCATTTAGAAGTGTCTATATATAGAGGATGAGTCAGTTTCTGAGGGAGATAGAGAGAGAAACAAAACCCAGTCACTCCCTAAATAAAGAAACTGGTAATCCAGCAAGGAATTTAATGCTTGAAAACAAATATCCTAGAAAATCTGAATGTGTAAAGTGTGAAATTAGTACTAAGTAGGTGTGATGTGAGTACAGGGCAAAGGTGCTGTGTCTGGCTGGCCCCATGAGGCGCCAGAAAAGAAGAGGGTAGGGAAGTGGTTTACCGTTGAGCAGGACATTGAAGGACAAAGAGGCTCTTCCCACCAGGGTGAGCTCCGGAAGAAAGAAAAACTGCAGGCTATAGAAATGGTTAATAACTGACGATTTTCTGTTTAGAGAATTGATTAAGTTTATCATATATAAGATAAATACAAGCAAGCTGGTCTTTAAACCCCAAAATAACAACAACAACAAAAGCCAGAATAAATTAAAGTCACCTAGATGGAGGCGTCTATCCCCAGCAGCCCCTTCATGTGTTCCTTACTATGCTGATTACACAGACTTTTTTTCGGTGATCGCTAAAATGAACTCAAGTGGGTGAAAAATTAATTGCTCAAGACATTTCTTAAAATAAGTATATCAACTAGGGACATTTTGTTTTTCTCTTTAAAATGTGTACCCTCCCCCATAGTGACCAAATTTGAGACCTAAGTACTCCTTTTCACTCTTTCTCTCATGCTTTTTCTAAAGAAGATGAGCAGGTTAGGTATGAAGCTATGTTCTGACATGCATAGCATATCACAGCAGTGTAGCATGTCACAGCAGTCAAACATAGGTGTCAGTGTGTGATGTTTCTCTTTTGCCCTATAGGTGGTTAAAAAGCAGTGTGGCTGGTAAATTTTGTAATGCTTTCCAAATTACATGAGGCTGTTGGGAGTTCCGTGTGCACAGTTCAGTGCATGACTGCTTGTAGCTCTTTTGGAGAATCTTAATTTGTTGCTCACATTTAACAAGTGCTTGCCATCGTTGGAGCAGAGCATCTCTGTGTGACGTAGGCCTGCCTCATACTTGCAGTGACACCTCCTGCGTGCTGGGATTCTCCATTATGTAATATTTCTAGCTTACCTAGTATGATCATTTGAAAGTTGATTTTTAAAAAACCTCTTATATGTAGATGAGGAAGCCGAAACACAACATTAGGCCCATTAACAGGACCAAGATTTCACAACTGGCAAGTGGTAGCCAGGATTCATAGTCCAGCTCTTGTCCTCATGGCTCTCTGTGGCTCAGCCACTAGTGTCTCATCTCTTGTGATAAATCTAATCCTGGGTCAGCTCCTAAGCTTTATGTGACATCTAGTCTAACTGCCAGCTCTTGAAATCTACGGCATTTTCCCCCTGGAAGACCTTTAGTTATGAGCATTTTCAGTCTTCTCACTCTCTCCCTGCGGCAGCACCGAGTAGCTGTTCACTGTCTTCTCACCTTCATCCCACTCTTGACATAAATGAGAGTTGTGAAGACGTTGCTGCTGCTAGTGGAGTCCCGGTCTCTGGTTCTGAACGTAGTCAGGTGTTCGACCAGACAGACCCGAGTTTCCTCAGTATCTGGAACTGTGGACCCTAGAGGCCTGGGTTCACTGTCATTTGCTGAATAAAGCTTCTAGTTCTTGAAATCAAGGAAGTCCAAGGAGCAGTAGGAAGGCAACCGAAATTATGCAAAGAAAATTAGAGATCCAAAGAATCGGATTTATGCAAAGAAGTCTTTGCTGTATGTACAAGTTTCCCTTTTCTGTTCTGAGTGACCCCGGAACAAGGGTGGGCATTCTGGTGGCAGCAGCTCACTTTTCTTTAATCAGAAAAGGATTTGTGAAAGGACAGTGGTTTTAAGAGATCTTTGAAGTATTTCCAACAAGGCGCTAATTGTGGTTGTGGGTTTCCTTTCCTTTCTTACTCTTTTTTTTTTTTGCATGGGTAGGTAAACTGTAGTCTCCCAGGTGTTCAATGGCAAAAGCACTTCAGGGTGTGTCCGTGACCTTCACTCTGCATATGTGGGCCACAGAAAACAAGATCCTAGCAATTGTACATTTGAAAGTACATTTTAAACCTTCACAGGCTATTTGGCATCTACGTTTCTTATTTTCAAAACAGATTCAGTGAAAATTTACAGGAGTTTTGCTTTTACCTGCCCTTGAAATAAGCAGTCTTGGTTTTTGTTATAATCTTTGGTCTAAAAGAGAACAAATTCTAGTGCTTAATTAGTATTTTTATTTCCGGCTTATGCTGATCTTTTCCCCTTTGATGTTTATTTTCAGGATACCTAGAAGACAGTTTTGTAAAATCTGGAGTCTTCAATGTGTCAGAACTTGTGAGGGTTTCCAGAAGTAAGTAAATTGTTTTCTTACTACTCAAGCACACAGAATGATATAAAATATTTTATATTTTGAACTTTAAATACAGTATGAAGAGTGACTGCATATTGGAATTAGAATTTTAAAATCTTAAAACTCAATGAAATCATAAGTGAATATTTTGTGTCTGATTTATAAAATATTTTCATCCGGTTCATCAGAGCTTTCTGTTTCACTAATTTTCAGGTTGTTCTCATTGGTCATCATTCAATTCTGTTCTCTCTGTGACCATAGATGGGCATTTATATCACAGGAAGTGTGATTAATTAAATGACTCTGTGTTGTTACAATAACCCACATAAGTTTCCTGTAGATAAGTGCCTTTTCATTTATAACATTTTGGTGGGGGTTGGAGATGTACAGGATTTACACACTCACATGCAGTGTGTAAAGGGGTCAGAAATTAACTTTGCAGATTGTGGCTGGATATAGATAGAAGGCATTGTTATCCCAAACAATGTCCAATTGTTTCAACTGACCACCTCACCTGAGGTACCATTCCTGAGGGGCTGGATTAGATTTTTCAGGGTAAGCTCACCTGGTTGGGGACTTAAGTAACACACACACACACACACACACACACACACACCCCTAAACTCCCCCCTCCCCCCAATTTTTTTTTCCACTGAATCTTGCTTTTTACTAGTGTGAAAAAAAATGTTCACAACGCAGACATAAATGCATTGATTAAGTGAAAGGAAGTGACTACTTTCTTCCTGGTCCTTCTCTGATCTGACCTGTTCACATCACTTTGAGTGGTGTTTTTTACTTGCTGTTTTGATAGAGAGTCTGGAATTGATGGTATCCAGATGATAAGGTGGCACTCCAGTCTCCATTTGTTTCCTACCCGGCATGATTTCTCAGCACTCCAGAGTCAGAGGCAGGAGGATTAGAAGTTAGAAGCCAGCTGCAGGACACAGCTAGATCCAGACTAGCCAAGGCTACATAGTAAGGCCCTGTCTCAAAAAATGAAACAAACAAACAAGCAACTGTGTTGCCTTTTGTATGTCAGCCACAGAGGCTTGAATGAGAATCATGACGAACTAAAGAGAACAGGGACAGTGAGCCGCATCAGCAGTGCTAGAGTCCTGCTCAGGACTTTTTTTCCAAGCTAGCAGGTAGCTCTCTTTTGAACCATAGCTTCTCAGTGAACTCAGATTTCTGACGTTTCTAGAACAAAAAGCCCATTTATCAGAGAATGGCAGATTTCAGAGTAGATGAAAATGTGAACAAAAGACTATAGTCATGGTTCGGACTTCTTAAGGACATCACAGGAAAGAAAAACCTAGAATGTACACCCCAGTAGGTCCAGGGTGTCTATGTGCTGTGCGAGAGGCTTCTGATGGTCTATTCCACCACCCGAGGCCACAGCCAGATGAAGATGTGATAGAAGAAGGCCTCCAACCGTGGTAACGTCTGCATTTTGATTTGGAAAGGAGATGCCTGGCTTGTTCACTGCTTTATTCCAGTAAGGAGAGGGCTCTTTGAAGTTCTTCCTTAACAGAAGGGCTGAGCTGTGATGCTGTGGGACATAGGACACAATTTCTTCCGCATGGACCTTTCTGAGTTCCATGTTGGATCTTCCTCTTTCCCATAAGAAGGGAAGTAGAGTCATCCATCAGAAAGGACTCATTTAGTGCCTCCTTAAAGGTACATTAAGCTAAGTGCTGTCAAAGAACCACTTTGGAACCTTCAAGAGTCCAAAATGGTATTTTGAAAAATTAGAAATTCAAACATGAAAAATAAGGTAAGAATATCTTTTTATAAGAGTTCAGAAACAAGGTAAATTTAGCACATTTCATTCATTCATTCTTAATTCATACTGTCCTTTCTTAGAGGTTTTTAAGTTATGTGTCATAACAAACATCACTGATTTGTAATTAGTACATTAATTATCCATATTCATTCCTTCGTTAATTTATTCAGCAAACATTTAATTTCTCCTCCATATGTAAATAGATGTTTCTGAGATGCTTGAGAAGTTCTATTCTCCCAAGTGTTTTAATATATTCACATAATCTTATTTACAAAATTGAACTACATTGTTTATGAACTAAGGGTTTGCTAAGTCAACATCAACTTCAGCACCAGCCTCATACTGTGACAGGTTCTAACTTCTTGAGGGTTCATGGCGTGTTGATGGTTCTGTCCTCCAGGGTTTTATTATCATGATGTACTAATGTGTGTGTTGACTTTAGCTAATAAAGCCCATCAGTTTTAGGATAGTGATCTCTCTGTTGAATGATATTATCTCCCTCTTAATAGTTGATTTAGGGACAGCCTTTGGAGTGAAGAGAGCAATAAGAATTCTTTGACACTTCATTTCTGAGAGGGTATCGGTACCTCGCAGGCATAGTCCGCAGCCTTCAATGTTCTGGAGCTCTCTCTCTGGGAGAGGTGTAAAGGCCAGTGTTTGCATGTGCCATAGCCTCTCTCTGAGGCTTTAGAAGCAGATCTGACAGGCTTGTTCATCACACACAGTTGCTAAGGAAATTATGTACTATTTTAAGTTGTTTTGGTCATGTTTATTAATAATCTATTTTCTGAAACCTCACATTTAATATCAGAATACATAGTAAATTTTTACAGTGTTTAGACAGGGTCACCAGGTAACCCTGTCTGACCTGAAACTCACTATGTAGACCACACTGGCCTCGAACTCACAGAAAAATATTTACCTGCCTTTGCCTCCTGAGTACTGATATTAAAAAGATTTGTACCACCATGCCTGTCCCTAAAGTTGGTTTTATTGTCCTTTCAGCATATATTATACCAAGCATATTTATGGCAAAGCAAACTGTGGGGACTGTTAAGCTAGATGTATCCAATAGAAATGTATAGAATCTTAATGGCTTTAGAAAAATATGTCTGAAAGGTACATCCTGTAAAGTTCTAGTCAACTTGAACTATACATTCTCTAGTAACTCAACTTTTTGAAGTGACCAGAACAAACAGAGTGTTTATCAGAGAAGGATATGCATCAACATATTCGAGACCTTAGGCAACTTACCTCTTATGAATAGAATTGTGACCAAAAGACTGTCATGGGTCATATATATGGGGCAGCACGGGAGGAGGTAACTGTCTGTAGTGGACAAGTTTCTGTTGTAGGAAGCAGATAAATTGTTCTTGTTCTCTGAGACCTTCACCTGCCTGCCGTTAACACATACCCTGATTCTGATCCACACAAAGCATGTTTCTAAAAATCAATTTTAAAATGTGTGGTTATTGTGGGATTTTTTTTTTACTTTATATTTTTTAAATATCTGGTATACCTCAAACCACAACAAACGTCAGTATACTTTAGCTCTCTAATTCATCAGATTTACACTTATCATAAAAAAACATTTTCTGTGCCAAAGGAGGCTTAATTATATTATGTAAAATGAACAATTTAACGGAAGGTAAGGACTCCAGAAGTTTGAAGCTGGGACTTTTCCTGTATATATGGATGTACTGTTTTTTGGTAGAGAGAGATAGTCTTTGCATGGTCCTTTGTTACTTCTCTATAGTAAAACATGTGCATCTTAATCATACTTTCTTAAAAACAGTTGAATTAATCTTGGCCTTGTTGCTAATTAAAATATAATTAAAACTGATAACAAATACACTTAAAATTTTATTAAAAATGCTACATAAAAACTTCTTGAAAACTTGCAGCTTTGGGATTTTTTTTTATGCCATTGGAGGCAGTTAGGAGAGGGAATATGTAAGGAGAACATGGGTTCTTAGCGTGGATTTCAAGGGCTCTAGAAATTTGTCTCCAAGTCCCCAGGACACTCTCAGGAGAGCTGCTAAAAGCCTGAAGGTAAAGAAATAGAAGCACAGTTTGGAGAGATAGATCAGTGGTTAGAAGAGCACTGTTGCTCTCTTGGAGGACCCAAGTTCAGTTTCCAGCAACCATGTCCAACAGCTCACAGCTGCCCCTAGCTCCAGATCCTGAGAGATCTGACTCCTCTGGCCTCCACAAGCACCTGCACTCACATGCACATATCCACACAAATAAACAAAATTTTAAAAAGAATGAAAAACCGGAAGCCGGCCTCCTGGCGCAGTGCCTTTTCCCCCAAGCTGCCTCGCCTTCCCTCGCATGTTTTCTCTGTCCTGGATTTCCTTCTATAGCAACACCTCTTTGGAGTAACCTTCCTTCCAAACCTGCTCATTCTCTGAAGTCCAGTGCCAGATACGGCTTCTCCATACACTTTCTTTTTTTTTTTTTACTATCAGTATTTGGTTTTCTCCATGCAAACCCTACAGAATGTATTGGTTATGTTGTTTGTTAAGGCAGGTTCATTGTAGTCAGTATACATTGCCCTGCTAGCTATGTGTTTTGCACAAGTGTTTTGCTTACCGGGCTTGCCACACAGTTTGTTTATTAAAGGTAGGTGTGTCTGAGACTACTTGGTATTCTTTGTAGCACCTGACAGTAATGGACATAGAAAATAGCTTTCCCTCCCTCCCTCCCTCCCTCCCTCTCTCTTCCCCACCCCCTGCTTTCCTCCCTCCTTCTCTCTTGCATTCTTGTATGGTATGTGTATGTGTTCTTAGGGTATGTGCACATACATATGTGCAGGGGTATGTGAGCATGCATGTGGAGGCCAGAGGTTAACGTGAAGCACCTTCCTCTGTTGCTGTCTCACTAAATTGGAGCTCATCTATTGACTAAACTGGCTGGTCAGCCCATCCTGTCCCAAGTTTGGGTTGCCCAGTATGCCACTGTGCCTTGCTTTGATGTGGGTGCTGGGGATCCAAACTTGGGTCCTGATGACTGTGCCGCAGGCTCTCTTCCCATTGAGCCTAGTCCTCCCCAGTTCCCAGTCAAAAGCTTTTCAAAGAATAAACTTTTAACAAACAGGTTCATTTCTCTGTATCAGCTTTTAGCACATTTTTTAAACTGTTCTGTCTTCACCAACCACTCTTCTGCAGAGAAGGAATTTGGGAGAGAAAGCAAAGAAAGAAGGGAGCTGACACTTGTTCAGCACGTGCTAGCCGTGGGCACGATGCTGGGCTGTTATGGCTCCTTCCGTTCATCCTCCAGATAATGGTATGCGTTAGGGGCTTGTTTCCATCTTATAGTCTAGAAAATTAAGACACATACCTTACAAGGGACAGAGGGGTTTGAACTAAAAATCTGTTTATATACTAAGGCTCTATTCTAACAACATACTGCCTCCCAGACTTTTTCAGTGTCTCTCAAAATAAAATATAAAAAGTTGAAAAGATTATGTAATCCACTGTACAAATATATCTGTATATATAAATAGATCTCAGTTCATAATGTATTGGCAGATTCAGAAAGATTATTTGGTTTGAAGACTTCTATCTTAAGATATAAAACTCTGGGAGCAGAGTTTAAATGGTTTTCAAAGTTATGGACTAAACTGTTCTTAAATAAAATATTGAGTGCTGTTACAAAGGGCATTCATACATAAAACCTAAATGTGTATTTGAAAAACACTTTGGCCTTTATTTAATATTCATGAACTTTACTCATACCTGCCTTATTTACTTTATCAAATTGTAAATACCATTTTTGTGTTTGTTTATATTTTGTTTTGTATGGCATTACTACACCAACATTACAATTACCACCTCTTAAATTTTGTTTTTAAAAGTAGGCCAGAACTCAGAGGACACTCATTCCCCCAGATAGCTCTTGAAACCATCTTTCTTACGGAGCTGTGCTGATGGCACTGTTGTATTGGAACTGTGTCCCTAGAACTGTGTCCTTGAGTCAGGCTCCACCCATAATTTTATTCAAAGTGGTTTCTCTAGCTTCAGTTGAGGGAAGTACAAACTTGGCTCCACCCCTTATCTTTAACAGACCATCCTGTCTTTTCGTCTCTAGTTCTAGAATATCTCATTCACCCAAGGTCCTTCCCAGTCTTCACTGTATGCCATGGAGATAGGTGTCTCTGTCTTTCAGTGCTTCGATATGTTAATTCCAAGCATATCCAAATTCATTCACTATCTTTTTGGATAGAGTACCAATTGAGGTACCCAGGAAACAAGATCAGATGCCCAGGTCACAAGACACAAGAGCACATGGTTTGGTTGGGGTTAATCAAAAGTCAGTGAGTTCAGATTACGTCTGTTTTATAAAAGACTTTAATCTTAGAGATTTTGTCTGAGACATGGCCTTGCTATGTACACTAGGCTAGCCTCAGACTTGCTATATAGTCCAGGCTGGCCTTGAGTTCTCTAGCCTCCTTTTCAGACTCCTGAGTGCTGGGATTATAGGTGTATGGCCAGACCTCGCTAAATATCATGATTTCTAAATCATTCTAATGTTAATGTAAAGACTAGTATAGAATAATAATCTTAGATATTTATTTTTGAAAGTCTTCTATATTTATTTATTCAACAATGATTTAATCCAGCGAAAAGCCACTTGTTTGATTTATTAATAGGAATCATATGTTCTGTTTTATCTAAGGCATCTACAGAGCAGAGAGGCAGCAGATGTAGTGACTTCTAACATGAGGAATTGAATGAGAAAGATTGAGGAGTATGAGCAGGTGAAGTGGTAGCCAGGGATCATAGTGTGAGTGCCTGTGATACCATACTGAATAGAGATCAGCATGAATGTCAATCCCAACATTTCTTTTTCATTTATGCCTCAGCACCCATAACCCAGGGAACTGGAGTCAACTTCCCAATTGGAGAAATCCCGAGTCAACCATATTATCATGACATGAACTCTGGTGTGAACCTTCAGAGGTCGCTGTCTTCTCCACCAAGCAGGTAAAGAGTCTGTTGCTGTTCCTGTTTTCACCCTTTGTACAGATTAGTGGTAGGTAGTTGGGCAGATAGTAAAAGGGAGAGGGAAATAAATACTTTGCTAATACAGACTTCTAATCTCTCCTGCTATTATTTTGATATCCTCAAGTTGAATGTAATTGCTATTCAAAGAACTTTTGAAAAATTTGGGGGGTAAAAATGAATTATGAAAATATATTAATAAGATTTTCATCTTGTATGAAATATTATAATTCGTCAAGCTAATCTTTGGACAACTTTAAAAAGCAGAGTTCCTTCAACATTGATCTAACTTTTACTGTAATCCACATCAACAATTGGGCTAACAAAACATGGAGGGGAGGAAAGTGTTATTTTCCTAACCTTAAAATTAAAGACCTTATTCTAGACTGAAATGTTCAGTTAATTGATGCTCTCTGACTATATTGAGTCTCCTGAGTACCATGAAGGTTCTGTCTGCTGCTTACCTTCATTGGTAAAGATCAAGAATGAGGTTCCCTTGCCTCTTACATCTCTGCTGACCGTTTCCTCTTCTCTTTTAACTAATTATAACTTTCATTCAAAATAAATACATATTATAGATGTGTTTTTTTAAATCTTGAGTTGTATCTTTTACATATGTGTTCCTATCTCATTTCCAGACCATTGAACATGCCCACAGACTAGTATAAGAAAGTATGTGAACTTCAAAGCAAAGCATGTATTTTATTATGTCAGTTTTTAAAATCAAAAGGTTGATTCTATAACATTTATAGTTTAACTGTATTTTCATATAATTAGGTTATATATCAAGACAATTGTGTTTATTATAACTGAAACTATCTTTGACATGTTGAGGTCTTAAAAGTGCTTTAAGTTTTCTAAATTTGCAATGTGAATGGTGGTTTTGAATTGTATGTTGGATCAGTATGTTGTCAGCCCTGATCTTTCCTAATGGACACTGTGTCAGATCCTGCGTCCCTCAGTCAGCAAAGCTTAAACACATTTCTCTGCTGCTGCTTATGAAAATAATTTCTCCTCTACTTTTTCACACTTTTGCTGACTCATAGATGGAAGGATTAGATTAAAAGGGAGTTAAAAATACTTATACGTTCTAAGTTTGGATACCTTTAGAAGAAACTAAGCCATGTTCATTTTTCTATGCTTATGAGTAGAAATTGTCATGCTTAGTCATGTGACTACTCCAGGAGTTGTCAGTCAAATATTAACCACAAGTTTACCCACAAATACACTGAGACATACACAGTCTTTCCAGATCTGGGAGCATAGTGCCCTGTTCCAAGGCCCGCCTTCCTGGAGGACTGCTCTGCTAACCTGCCCTAGGCAATTCACTGAATTTCTCCAAATTTGTCTCCCTATTTGTTAAAAATGAGGGACTGGTGTATGCATGTACTTTCTGAGGTAACTTTCAGCTCCAAAATTCTGTGGCATATTTATTAACAGTACATAGAGTTAATTCTAGGTATTATTGTTGTTATGCACCAGTTACAGGTACAAATAAGAATTTCATAAGTAGAAAAAGTATTCACCTTCATAGTCATATTAGCCTGTTTAGCAGAGTGTTGGTGAAAGCGTTTTAAAGTACTGTTCCCAGTGAAAGCACCCTGTCATAAAATACTCTTTAATCTTTGCTGTAGATACTAACTTTTCTAACAATAAATACGAGTCATTTTTTTTCATTCAAAGTATCTTTCTAAAAATATGCCGTTTGACTTAATTTGGCAATAATCATTTTTCATGGTTGATCTTAAGAATTAAGGACCAATATCCTGAATTTTTAGGGAATAATTATAAGGTTAACACTAACAAGATTTAATAGGTATCTTCTAATACCAGTCATTTAGCTAAGAGCTTTATAGTTATTAGCTCACTTCATCTCCTTAACTAACCTCTTTGAGTGTGGTTTTATTATTTCCATCTTACAGATGAGTAACTGAGTTTGGAAGGTTAAGGAGCTTGCTGTTAAGGAAAGCTTCTGACAAAATAGCTAGAATGAACGCAGGGTAAAGGTAGGCATAGGGATAAGATGATGAGAGTGCTGTATACAGCTAAAAAGCTTTGCTGTTCGTGCAGATGTGGATGCTCACGTTGCTTTCAAACTGCCTCTTTTACTTGTATTTGTGTAAATTTCCACAGTAAGAATCCTTTCAAGTCATTTTTAAATAAATGCTGCACATCTTCCAAGAAGTCCCATTAATATAACTATTGTCATATTTTAACAGCAAAAGACCTAAAACTATATCCATAGATGAAAATATGGAACCAAGCCCTACAGGAGACTTTTATCCCTCTCCGAATTCACCAGCTGCTGGAAGTCGAACATGGCATGAGAGAGATCAAGGTGGGTAACAGGGAGATGCTTCCCAGGGACGCCAACATACAGCACTGCTTAGTTCTTAAGCTTTGCTTAATTAGAACTTCCTGAGGTACCAGTATGGATCAAACTTGAAATGTCTTCAATAAATTACTTGACGATCACATTTTAAGATACTGTGTCAAATGTTATCAAATTACAAAAGTCCTGTCTTACTATATTTTTATTTTCAGACAGAACAGGCTCCCAGAGCCACAGTTCTGTATGTGAGTGGTTTGGGCCTGTTGGCTGGCTTGCAGCAGAGCCAAAGTTCTGGCTCAGTGAGGTTGACTGCTCTTCTCTGTGAGGTTTCGGGCAGAGGCAAACTTCAGGCCATTGGCAGGTGCCAGGTGCTGAGCACTGTCATTTAGAGGATGCCTCGATTCCTTGTGGAAGCAGGTAGAGTGTAAATAAGAAAAGTGTACTGTAAGAAGCCGTGTCTAAGTCCACCTAGTTACACTTCCTACGTAAAACTGACTCCATTCTAGGACAGCTGTGAGGAACAAAAGGATTTTAAATAGGTATTATTTCTAGGCCATCAAAAAAGTTTATTAGTATTTTTTTTTAAGACTACAGCATACAGAAGTATTCAAAGAATGAAAAAAACTTGATTTAAAATTCAGATTTCCTTGTAAGCTAACAATCTCTTGTAGAATCACGTATGGACTTACTTTGCATTAAAATGTGTTATATCTTGAGATATGGGTCAAAGAACTTCCATGAAGTGTGCGATGTATGTGAACTCATTAGTATGCCTTTTAAAAAATTACCCTTTCTTGTTCTGCTTTCTAAATCTTACAGTATACCTACACACACATTTTTTTTCATAAACACATGAATACATTATAGGCTAGGCTCCATATATAAAGTAGAATGTGGTTTTTTTACTTTCTGAGATTGGGTGACTTTGCTTAATATTATACATTCTAGTGGCATCCATTTCCTGCAGATTTAGTGATTTCACTTTTCTTTGGAGCTGAATGATATTCCATTTTATAGATGTACAAGATCGTTATTATCCACTCATCTGTTTATGACAGCTGGGTAGTTCCATTTTCTTGCTGTAGTGAATAGAGCAGCAGTAAACATGGGGGCACACATATCTCTAAGGTAAAGTATGGCGTTTTCTGGGTATATGCCCAGGTGTGAGATAGTTGAATCATATGGTAGCTTTATTTTTAACTTTTTTTTTTGTCTTTTTGAGACAGGGTCTCCCTGTAGCCCCAGCTGTCCAGGAACTCACTATGTAGACCAGGCTGGCCTTGAACTCACAGAGATCTGCCTGCCTCTGCCTCCCCAGTGCTGGGATTAAAGGCATGCGCCACCACACCCAGCCCATTTTTAACTTTTTGAGGAACCTCTGGCATTTCCCTGATGACTGGGGATGTTGGACATTTTTTAAAATAGTTGTCAAATGTTTCTTTTTCTGAAAACTGTCTTTCTATTTGTTAGCCCCATTTGTTGGTTTGTAATTTTATTTCCTTGGTATTTAATTTTTTCAGGTCTTTAAAATTCTGGCATTATTTAAGTTTCCGAAGTCTGACTTGGTCTTTTTCTTTCTTGAGGTGGATTGGAGTTAATACATTGTTACCATGTATAATCTTGCCTTTCCCCATAATAAGGAGGTCATTGAAAGTATGGACATCAGCTAGCTACAATTTTTGTTGGTATGTGAACACATATATAAATAATATTTTATACCAGAACCATAAAATATATTTGTAAATTCATTTTAAATCAAAGTCTATATTTTAAATACTGTAAAAGAAGACACTCTTTCCTAATGGTTTTTAGCCAAGGACTTGAGTGTATGTCTGTGGGGTTGGATTGGGAAAGCTTAGTAGACAACTCAGGAGCATAACACAGTCAGTTCAGGATTCTTTCTTACTAAGAATTTTTATATTGAGTGACATGGGATTTGTAAGATAGTGAGACCACGTGGAGGAATTGAATTGAGTTAGTTGGATTACCTTTAGCATGTTGATTTTAATTAGTAAAGATGCAGGGGACAGAGGACAGACAGGGAACAAACCAAGCAGGGGCAGGTGCTAAGGCAGGGAAGCAGGACCAGAATGACCATGCTGACACTGCAAATGGGATAGGAAGTGAGGGGTGTGACTAAAGCCATTTTATGGAAGGACTGGAAAATCAGCTGGAGAATTGGGCTTTGAAGCATTCTCCCAATCCATCCTTCAGGCAGTAGAATTTATCTTCATAAAACATACATGACATTTTGCTGCCCTCCTGCTTCTCACGTTCTGTTTCTCATTTTCACGTGCACCTGAGCCTACTGCTTTGTTTGGATTTGGGAATGCAGTACCCAGGAACTTCTTGCAAACCGTGCCCCCTGGAATGTTCTTTCCTAACTCTTTATCTGGAAAATTCTTTGATACCTTTACAGGCCCAGAATCCACTAAGGAGTTTCAGTCTAAAGTTGTTGCTGCTTTTGTCCCTTCATCATGTTCATAGCATGTAGTTCTGCACGTGTTTATTGAAGAAGTGGTTTAAATGTGCCTACATCATGGGACAACTGTTTTGACCATTGCTGTAGCTAGCACCGAATACACACTTGATGCATAGTACGGACACAGTAAATATTTGTTGTCTAAACCAACCATTGATAGGCAAATAAAGGTGCTAAGTACAAATAAAAACAAAACGCTCAACTCTTCATATTTTATTACTTGTTTTACTGACATTGTCACTTTATTCTAAACAAAGCTGTATTTTCTCTGTCAGGAAATTATTCTGGGAACGATCCTAATAGTAATAATAGTAACATTGTGAATGTGTAGGGATGGATGTGTTGTTTCGAAGTGTAGGTATTCTTTATAGTAGAATGTCACTTTGTAACAATCGATTCTTCCTTCAGCCTATTCAGTAAAGCCAGTCTCACATCATATTATAAAACATTTTTGAAAAGTAGAAGGCAAACTGTCATTCTTCCCCTTTGTAAAATCATTGCATTGTCTTGATGATTTTCTATTGTCAAGATGATTAGAATTATTGGAGAAGTCTGTAAAAGCAAATTACATTGAGTAAGGAGAAATGTTCCATTCTCGTGTGTGCTTAAAAAAAAAAAAAACCTGTCACTTGAATTTTGAAGACCCTGAAGACTTTGTAATACGCACAATAAGCCTTTGTGGGAAGAAGACTTCAGCAACAGTGAAGAACTGAGGGCAACACAGGACTACCTTCATAAATTTGCTAAGCCCAGATGTAATGCTTTTGTTCTTAGGAAAATGCATTTTTTAAATTTGCAAAATAAAATGCCCCACGTTTGTGCCTGTCCATCTCTGTTCTTGTCTGTTGTGAAAGCAGTGTCTAAAGTACTAATTGAGTGCTATCTGGAAAGCCTTACAGTGCTACTTAGAGTTATTTCTCCTATAAAGCCCTGTGCCGATTGGTACTTGATAACCCTTACTGGTTGATGATCATGTGCTTCTGTTTTAAATTAGCAGAAATACTACAGATTTACCCTTATTTTCTGTATGAACTGACCAGTAAAACCTCCTCTCTCCATAACCCTTGCAAAGCTTCATTTTAAAATATGAGAACCAAACATAATAAAATTATGAACAAACATTGCATCCCACTTTTTGAAATCTGAAACATAGCCATATATAATGAGATTATTCGAAGGCAAAAAAAGATATAATATGACAAATTATTATATGTATTTTATTTTTAAAAGATGTTATACAAAATATTCACAAACCATGTTGAGCTTTCATGTAATGAATGACATGTGCTTAAGTATTTTTATTAATTTAATGTAAAATATTTTTATTTTGTTACAAATATAATTAATTATATATTTGCCTTTTCTTTGCAGAACACAAATTTACCATTTTCTGATTATAAAAAATTATAATCTTGTAAACATAGACAAGAATAGTTTTAAATTAAATATTATTTGATAGTGTTAAATGTTCGATAAAGGACTATATAATTGGCTCCATTTTTTAAATAAATAGTGATAGAAATTAAATCAGCCTCTTTAATTTTTTATATGCGGAGGGAAAGAAAGGGAGATGAAAGTAGTAGTGGGTTACTAGCTGGAGAGCACAGAGGGCTCCGGCCTTCCTCTCCCAGTTCTAGAGCATTTTTCTTTGCTTAGTCTCTTCTGTGAATCCCTAGGTCTGAGACTTCTGGCTACCTCATTTTTCTTTCCTTTGTGGGGATCTAGATAGGGTGCTCTGCGTATGAAGCCCAGGACCTGGTGCTAGGCAGGTACTCTACCCCTGAGCTACAGCCTCAGACCTAAGTATATTGGGGCAATACTTTTTTCATCATTAAGATTTTAATGATTAAGTTCATAGCACATGCAGGTTGGACATTTCTTTGATTTCAACACTTACAAAAATATCTCTTGATATCTTGTCAACATTTAATTTTACCTGCCTGAGACTCTTCAGAAAATTGATTCCTGGTTGACTTTTCTAGAAGAAATCGCTAAAATAATCCTTTGTAACTTTTAATATAGGATAAAAATTGATACATGTCATGGATTTCATACCAATTCAGGATACTTTCATGAAACTAAATCTAGTTGTACTCCAATGCCCAGGAGTACAGTAGGCTAATAAAGTATTTACTTGAACATTTGGAATAATCATTTGTCAAGGTCACTTTGCCCTGCTCTTCTAAACACTCATTGATTCCTCTAGGTCTGAGTCTAAAAATGAGGAGAGTAGATATGGTGAATATATTTGTAATATACAGTTGAGAATTTCTAAATGGAAAACTCAGTGGCTTCATAGCCTGTTAAGTATTAAAACAACTTGTATTCTTAGGTTAAATGGAAGCTCAAAAAGACTTTTCATGCAGTAAGACTGTACTAATGTCTATACATTGAAGACTGAGATAACTTGGCTTATTTAGCATTTATCAAATCCCTATCATATACCAGGAATTTTTGTAGGCATTAGGCACACAAATATGATTAAGTTCCAGCCCTGGGTCTGCTGAACAGAAGCATCTTTTTG